AGGTCACTACGATTCAGTACCGACTCAATGGCACCTAACAGCAACAACAATGAAGTAATGAAATTCACCTAAAGATACCACACTCAGGCCAGAGAGAAAGAGGTTCAAAGCACATGAGAGGAAACATGCCACATAGTTCTACTTCCCTGTGCAAGACAAGTGGATTCAAAAGCTCAGAATCCTTGTCCTGATTACAAATTCAAAAGGTATTGCCTATATACTCATTCATTATTTTAAAGTCCATCTGGCAGCTCAGACTCTTGAAAATTAAGCAAGTTCCCTGAAAATACAGATATTTCTCTGATATACATACTTTAGTTAATGATGTGATTGAAGCCAGTTTCAGATTTACTCTTAAGAATAATTTTCAAATATTCTAAAATAAGTTGCACTAATAGATGCACAACTCCATGACTACACTAAAAACCTCTGAAACGTACACTTTAAACAGATGGATTGTAGAACATGTACGTTATATCTCAAGAAAGCAGTCTGGTTCTTTTTTAATCATTTTCAAGAGGAACTTACTGTCACCTCTAAATGAATGTTTAGCTAATCAGATCTACACTACTCTGCAGAGTTATTAACAATATTCTATACATCATCTTTTAAAATCAGACACATGACATAAAAAGCTCTTGCACAATAGCCAGCAGTATACTTTTCTCTCTTGCTATTGTTCCCTGGGTTGACCAAGATTAGGTTACATTAAATCTTGTCATAAAAATAGTTAGGTATCTGGCAATAAGATTCTATTAATGTAGGGTACAAAAGATTACGGGATTAACAACAACAACAAAAAAAAACACAACAGTACACAACAATCATAAAATGAATTAGCCCATTTCTATCCCATTTCACCAGTAATAAACCAAAGGATACAGCACTTAGATTATTTCTCCAGGTCCTTCAAGCTCCTAATGTACTGACCCACCAATTCACCAATGAGTTTTTATTCTTTCTTTTGTTCTTTCTTACCTGGTCTCAAAGGTGTGACATTATCTTGCCGTCGATTACTCTTCCTCAGAGGAGTTTTACCCTGAAAAAGTCCTCCTGTTCCATTCTTCCCAAGAAACTTATTCTCCAAACTAGCCTTCTCCTCTGTGAAAAGGAAAGATCATCACTGTCCAGTCAGCAAGGCAGCAAATGAATCCGTTTCCTTTACTTAAAATGGAGCTTAATGTCCCCTACCAGTACACTTTCAACTCATTTTGCATGCCCAAGGCAAAGTTCTAGTGATAGAAAGGGAAGGGTACATGTTATAGGTCAGTAACAGAGACAACACTGGCAACATCAAACAATGTGTTTATAGAAAAGGAAAAATACAGACTCTGCAATGTGAACAGTCCCTATCTTTTCTTGATGCAGATTCAGGACCTTATCTAATACATCATGTTCCTCTCAATAAACTGTAGCCACCAGCATCTGTAGGGCTTACAAAGGACATCTTATAGTGGTTCTTCCTTAATCAGGGTGGTGAGAAGGGAGTGTAGTGTGTATAACAGTGGAACAGAGCTAGATTCTCTCAAAAGAATTTTTTCTTTTTATTTTTTAAGTAAGCTTATATGAAAGCTTACACAGCAAATTAGATTCCCATTCAAACTTTCATACACAAATTGTTTTGTGTCAATGGGGATATAATGTGTCAGTACAAGAGGACTTCAAAAAGTTTGTGGAAAAATTCCATTATCTGTTAACTCCGTTTTGCCACGAACTTTTTATGAAGTCCCCTCACGTGCTCACCATGTCTACCCTGCCTGGCCCATTTCCATCCAGTTCCCCTAACCTCTTTGCATTTTCACCTTTGCATTTTGGGTAAATGTTGCACATTTGGTCTTGT